AAAATGCGCCTGATTTAAATGTCACACCTGAACGCTCACATCCTTTTAATTATGTTTGAAATTATGAACATTGCTCAACATCATGAAAATTAAACCTTATTTTCAATAAGCAATCCTGAAAAATATTTGGGGGTGCTTAACTTTTTTCCAGGTGTATATATTTATGGTTTAAAAATGTTATAAAGAGTTTCAAGGATTTGTTTTTCATTCTTTGTTTTTCATTGCAATTTCAAACACTGTAATTGGCCATTCCTTTGTCCTCTTAATATCCATGCACATATTTTTAAGTTTTTATTTGAAGAAAGTAAGTAAGTAAGTTTAGATATGAATGTCTCTATAAATGTCTTAAATCTACAGTTAAATATCATACGGTCCCATTATTAGTAACATACATTAATGATTGTAAAAATTTTATATTACTGAGAAAAAACTTTGTATTTCTATAGCTCAAATTTTATTTTTTTAGAGATAAAATGTATATCATACTAGGAAAAGGGAAAACAATTATTTTAGTATGAATCTTTCATGTAAGCATGACAATAGTTCATAATAAGCAAATATAAATAGAACAAAGTTCTTGTTTTATATGACATTAAAATGTAAAATATGAGCTAGTAAATATAAATAGAACAAAATTCTAGTTTTATATGACATTAAAATGTAACATATGAGCTAGTAAATATAAATAGAACAAAATTCTAGTTTTATATGACATTAAAATGTAAAATATGAGCTAGTAAATATAAATAGAACAAAATTCTAGTTTTACATGACATTAAAATGTAAAATATGATCTAGTAAATATAAATAGAACAAAGTTCTAGTTTTATATGACATTAAAATGTAAAATATGATCTAGTAAATATAAATATAACAAAGTTATTGTTTTATATGACATTAAAATGTAAAATATGATCTAGTAAATATAAATAGAACAAAGTTCTAGTTTTATATGACATTAAAATGTAAAATATGAGCTAGTAAATATAAATAGAACAAAATTCTTGTTTCATATAAGACATTAAAATGTGAAGTATGATCTAGTGAATATAAATAGAACAAAGTTCTTGTTTTATATGACATTAAAATGTAAAATATGAACTAGTAAATATGCTTTGTAACTTTTTGTCCGTGAATATTTGACTATGGTTGCTATTTTCAGCACAAATGATAGCTAAGAGTTGTAGCTGTTTCAGTACACAATGTGATCCTCACAAAATGGTTTAGTAGTAGGAACATTGGATAAGCTTCATTAGCATATGAGATAACAGCAACTCTTGCTTTTGAAGAAGAAAAAAACATTAAAAGTTTTCTGCATTTTATTTATAGTTTTCTATGTATTTGTTCTTGGAAACTCTTTGTCATCTTTTCCTTGATATCATTCAGTGGTTATTTTATCATGGTCACATCCATATTTACTGCAATTGAAACACCTTTTAACTTTGCATTTGCAAGTAACAGAAATATGAGATGATTATCTTATGTATCCATGCTGTTTTATCTTGTCTTCCATGATTTAAAATAGGAAAAAAGAATAAAAGTTTGGCCAGGAAATGGAAAATATTGTCAAAAGGAAGGGCAAAGAATCTTTAATAACTTCTTGGTGGGAAAAAGAAAAGTTATTGAAATTTTCCTTTACCAGAAAGGAAGCCCTAATTCACCATTATTATATTAGGAAGTTTCTAAAGTTTTTGTGGATGCTATGTACTCTACATTTGGGTTAAATTACAAATTTAAAGTTAAGGATATTCTTTAAGATTGATAATAATAACATGTATCACGTGACACCTCGAAGCTTGATTGTAGTATGATTTTTATTCACATGGTCATTATAATTTTTGGTTCAGATGATTGTGTAGTAATTTGAAGTGATCTATTTCTAGAACTGTATTTTACATTAAGGTTGATGCAATATAAAACTGTAATAGTGATGAATTTAATGTTTCGTTGTAGTTTTTAGTGCTGTATGATTTAATGAACTGAATGCAAAACTAAAACTTTATAATATAATGAAAAAGACCATTTTAAATTTAATTGTGCATAAATAAATAATAATGTTTACTGACTAGATAAGCAGTTGAAAGACAGTGAAAGTGTACAAATTAAAGAAGAAAAAATTTCTCGGTTGCGATAAATCATATTAACTATAAAACGTATAATCTTCCTTCAGTTGATTCGTGGAAAGGTTGCATAATTTTGAAAGGAAGTGGTAGCATAACATATAGATCCAATTATGGTCTGCCAAATTAAAAAAAAATGTCCAGGTGATCTCTGTAAACAATAAAAAAAAAGTTTGAGAACCATTAACAACATAAAACACTCGAATATTCAACTGTAGGTTCTTTAACTCCTGATGTAATCTCATAAAAAATCGATGTCAATAACTTTGAATTGGTGTTGTTTTGCCTGATTTCATATAGCTGCAACCAGATTTAAAGGAACTGTATGATACCATGTGTCGACTAAGTTTAGTGCCTGAGGACTTTGAAGGCCGAACTAAAGTAAATGAATGGTAAGCTGAAACTCACTTGAAATAGGAGGAATTCAAGGAAAATGAATAATAATTGTATAATGATAAATATTTTAGAAATTAAAATAGATATAATTTTTTACATAAATTATTGTGCCATTTACTCTGAAATTTCTAACTCTCTGTTATTTAAAAACATAACTGCCATTTTGTAAAACTTTTTTATGCTTAATATAGTGTTTTCTGTTATTGTGGAAGTTCTCTGCTTTAATTTCTTTCAACTGTGTGTGTTTTGAAAATTGTTTTACCTAACACAGTGTTTTCTCTGTTATTGTGCAAATTCTCTTGCATTGTTGTCTGTGTATTATCGAAATTCTTTTACTTTTGCCTCATACAGTGTTGTCTGTTATTGTGGAAATTGTTTCATTGTTGTCTGTGTATTATTAAAATTCTCTAACTTTTGCCTCATACAGTGTTGTCTGTGCATTATTGAAATTCTCTAACTTTTGCCTCATACAGTGTTGTCTGTGTATTATTAAAATTCTCTAACTTTTGCCTCATACAGTGTTGTCTGTGTATTATTGAAATTCTCTAACTTTTGCCTCATACAGTGTTGTCTGTGTATTATTGAAATTCTCTAACTTTTGCCTAGTACAATGTTGTCTGTTATTGTGGAAATTCTCTGCTTTACTTGTTTCAAGCGTTGTTCGTGTGTGCTGTGAAAATTCTTTGACCTAGATTATATCTCATACGGTGTATGTTCTTGTGGAAATTATATGGTTTAGTTTGCTTCAAGCATTGTTATCTATATATCAATGAAATTTTGTAGCTTATCATATGTGTCATTGTTGAATGTATTCCCCAAACTTTTGTTCAAAACACTTTGCTCCATGTTCAAACAGTGTTAATTGTTATTTAAAAAATTCCATAATTAATTTTTTGTTTCAACTAGGACTATCTCCATTATTGTGGAAATTACTTCATTCTGATGTGATTTTATATTTCAAACAATGTTGATTTTGTTTTCGAGATTGTTGTAATTTGTATTTCAAATATTATTTGTTTTATTATGAAAATGTTTTTTTTTGAGTTTGTTTCAAATGCAGTCTTGAGTGTTAATTAATGATTTTTGTTAGAATGTTGTGCACGTCATTGTCAAGTAATTTTAATTTGTGATTTTAAGCTTAGAAGTATGTGATACAGCCATGAAGGGAATTAGTGTTAAAGAATAACCTGCAAATTGATATAAAAATTGTTTGCTTTGGTGGTATAGAAACTTCTTGGGTGGCCATGTTTTCATTGCATTTGGTTCATTACATGTGTTTATTGTTTTGTTTGTTAGATATATTATTGTGGATTACTGACCATTATTTAGATAATCAGTTTCGTTATCACATTTGTTAATCAAAGGCCCATTGAGCATTATTTGGGTGCTTAGTTTTATTGCTACATTTGTTCTTCTGGGACACTGACCACCATTTGGTGTAATGTTTGTTATTACGTGTGTTTCTATGAGAGTTATCGACCATTACTGTACTAATATTAGGTGTTAGTGGCACGCTTGAATGAGAGTTTACTGACCATTACTTGATTAACTTACAGGTGCAAGAGGGTTTGTTTGAGTGAGGGTTTACTGATCATTACTTGATTAACTTACAGGTGCAAGAGGGTTTGTTTGAGTGAGGGTTTACTGATCATTACTTGATTAACTTACAGGGGCAAGAGGGTTTGTTTGAGTGAGAGTTTACTGACCATTATTTGATTAACTTACAGGTGCAAGAGGGTTTGTTTGAGTGAGAGTTTACTGACCATTACTTGATTAACTTACAGGTGCAAGAGGGTTTGTTTGAGTGAGAGTTTACTGACCATTACTTGATTCACTTACAGGTGCAGGAGGATTTGTTTGAGTGAGAGTTTACTGACCATTACTTGATTAACTTACAGGTGCAGGAGGATTTATTTGAGTGAGAGTTTACTGACCAGTACTTTTTGTAAATAGGAGAATTTCAGAAATGAGTAACTGACCAGTGCTTTATCAAATATCAGATATAGGAAGGTTAGAGAGAGAGCATATTAACTCTGTGTGTACAGTTGGGGGGTAAAAATGTACATCTCACAACATTTTTACAGAAAATTTAATCAAACAACTTCATTATTGATGTATATCAATAAATTTAGCATCAAAAGATAGTTTATAATTCAAATTTTAGTTTTATGTAAGTTTTAATTTTTTAACATTGTAAGGAAATGTTTAGATAAATTCTCAATCTTCACTTCTCTACCTCATGTGATGCCTCTTTCTTTCTTCCTCTATATAGGCTTCAGAATGTCAACCAATTAGATACACCAAATATAGATATTGACAGTCAAGATATAGGGGGTTTAGAATGTCAACCAATCAGATACACCAAATATAGATATTGACAGTCAAGATATAGGGGCTTAGAATGTCAACCAATTAGATACACCAACTATAGATATTGACAGGCCAAATTTGAAATAAGAACCTCCCACCTTCATTATTTCCTAAGATATCAATAAACTGGTTATACCCACAACAGAAGCTCCTCCCGACTCTTCATGCTATTAAAATCACTTATTTAGTCATGCTTACCTTTCAGTGGTATGTGTTGATAACCAGTAGAAAAACCATTTTGTTAAATACATGATTATGATGCCTTTTTTTTATACGTCTTGGTGAAAGGCACCATTTGTTGCGTGTAGACTGAAGTCATTGCTCTAGTAGGTAATTAGTATTTTAACCTATTTATAGGTTAGCTAGAAAGACAGGTAAATTGTACTGTTAAAATTGTTGTTTGTGTTTTAAATACCTGTTTGAAAGCTACATTAGTTATTTCTCCTACAACCAAAATAGCATGAAAAAAGGTGTCTTTACTGAAGTACATTCTTGAGTACAAATAGGCTTATAACCAACAGCAGTTGTTGACTTCCTTATTTTTGTTTATTTTCTTATATATATTTTTAATAAAAGTGAATAAAATTAAAAAATTAAAATCTTGTTAGGTTTGATAATAAATTGTAAATGAAAAAAATACATTTTTTCTTCTTCATTTCTCGAGCAATGCACAAGCAGTTAGATATGTATAATGTACTCAGACTTGTGTGTTTGGTAATCTAAGATGATTAATTCTAGTAGAAAGAAGAACATATTTGATTTTATTTAATATTTTTCAACTTTCACTTAGTGAAAATAAGAGATGAAGTTAGTGTTAGGGTAGTGAAAATAAGAGATGAAGTTAGTGTTAGGGTAGTGAAAATAAGAGATGAAGTTAGTGTTAGGGTAGTGAAAATAAGAGATGAAGTTAGTGTTAGGGTAGTGAAAATAAGAGATGAAGTTAGTGTTAGGGTAGTGAAAATAAGAGATGAATTTAGTGTTAGGGTAAAGAAAATAAGAGATAAAGTTAGTGATAGGGTAGTGAAAATATAAGAGGAAGTTATTGTTAGGGTAGTGAAAATAAAAGATGAAGTGTTACAGAATGAACTTTTGATATTCATTTCGGAAGTTCTAAAGGTTATAAATATAAAACTGTGAGATGACAAAAAGTATTTTTTATTTTTAACATAAATATCACCTTGTACTCAGACTAGTCAGAGTCTGAGTCAACTGACTCTGTCAATTCACAAATAAATCCTTAGTAAAACTACTTTATTAACAATTCTGATTTTTTTGTCACAACATGCTTGTAATGTTTTCTTAAAGCTTATGAAATTTTGTGAAGATACATTTAGTAAATTTGAAATTATAGTAAACATTGATATGTAGCTTCACAGAAATGGGTATTTGGTGTAATGTAACAATGCTGTACACAGTGTTAAATACAGATACAAGATGGTTTATGTAAGTCAGACACACGAAGACCCAGGAAGATTCCAGTGTTAGGTTACTGTCCAATACTTGGTTAAATGTCAGCTACAGGAAGATTTAAGTGGTAGGTTGCTGTCCAATACTTGGTTAAATGTCAGCTACAGGAAGATTTCAGTGGT